CGTTATCCTTTTTTCCTTTAGCGATAACACACCCCCTCCTCTCTCTCTCTCTCGATTCCTTCACGTACAGAGACAAATATACATATATACATATATATACACACACGCACACGTTGTTCGACCGATTCCTGTCGCGACGCTCCTGGATGGATCCCCGAACGAAAGGGTGGAGGAGGAGGTTAGGCGTCAGGGGAGGGGAAGGGGAAAGTCGCGGGACGGTAAATCGTGGAGCAGCGGATAGGGGGGCGCCATTCATCCTGATACGCAACGGGCGCGACTACATATTTCCTTCGTTCCGTTTAAATTAGTGTTTTTTGCCCCCTCCCCCCGGGTCTTGATTGTGTTTTCTCCTCGCCTGCGAAACTTTTCACAGAGAGGGGGAGGTGCACGACGCACGCGTATCGATTCCGCGTTGATGAACGCGTAACGGGCTAGCTAAGCGATATATCAGGAGCGTGATTTCAGGGGGGGGAGGGTGGAGGAGGAGCGAGATACGCGGCAAAATTGAAAAGTTTGATGTATTAAAATGCGTGGACGTCGCACTCACCCACCCTTTCTTTCTTTCTTTCTTTCTTTCTTTCTGTTCGTAGTGGGAGAGCAGACAACAACGCAACGTCGTCTACTCGATTACGCCGGCCGTCAAAAAGTGATCGAGAGTTCTCGTCTATCGCCTCTTTCATCTTAAGTTTCGCGCCCCCGCTTCGTTGTCGCGAGGATAATTCGAGCCTTCTTCTCTCGAGATTCGTTCGGCCGTGTGATTCGATCCGATTCGGCCCCGTTTTCCACCCCTCCCCGGCTATCGAGCGAGGTTTTTCCTCGCCCGCTTTTGCTTGGCTTACGGTTATTATACTAATATTTGCCGTTCGAACGAACGGCGCTCCTCGAGAAGAAAATATAAATCGTGGTTCGTGTATGTGTGTGCGTGAAAAAACGATTTCTGCGCGCATCCACTTCTTTCTCCAGATTCCGGGAAGAGGTTGGCTACGTATCGCTTCGGTGCATATATATTTGCAAATGTATATATTTCGATGTATTTTTTCTTTTTTTTTCCTCTTTTATCAAGAAAAGAGTAATAATCCTAGCAATTCTGGGAACTTCTGCAAATCTTTCTGGAGTTCTATTTTAAGACTAAGAGAAATTAACGAACGATTTAATATCGTCTCGAGATGTCGATTGGAAGAAGAAAAAAAAAAAAAAAAAATCTGTACTTCTGCCCGCTCGACTCTCTCAAAGTTTCTCTCGTTCTTCTCGTTCACGTTCTATTAGCATTCGATGCAAGAAGTACCAAGATCAATATTTATGAAGTTGAGATATTAGCGGTTAAAGATATGTTAAAAAATTCATGTTCAAATAATTCCCGATAATGCGCACAACTTCCCGCTTTTTTTCGAATTTCTTTCTCGATGCAAAGGCGATCGAAAATTTCTTCCTTTTCTTTTTTTACAACAATCGTTGTTCGACTCGACGATTTTTATAAAAAAAAAAAAAAAGAAAAAAAAAGGGGGAAGAAAAGAGAGAGAGAGAGAAATGGACAGCAATCGACTCCTCGTGGCTTCCGGCGGTAGAGCGGGTAGAGTCTACGATTTCGTTCCATTGGCGGCAAGGACGACAGCCGACAAGGAAGAAATTGATAGGTCCACCGCGTAGGATTATAATTTCGTGCCATCTCGAGAGAAAGGGAAGAGAAAGGAGGAAGGAACGGAAGAATTTTTGGGGAGAATCGAAA